ATCCGATCTGAACATGAACAACTGTATACATGCTCATTAATTCAACAAAAGATTATCACACTGAAACTAATTTGTTGTTGGAAAAATCATCAAATTTGATTTTAACATTAATTTTTTTAGTTTTTAGAAAGCAACACAACCCTTAATAAATAACCAACTATACTAAAAACTTGTAATCCAAAAACACAATGGAAGAAACTAATAGATAGTTAAAAGAAAATTTCCATAGATATCCAAAAATTATTATATATCAAGTTATAAGTCAACATAAGAAAAATAAACCACACATGAAAAAAAATTCATCATAATATCTCTAACATTAATGTAGATCAACTTTAAAAGCAACACACTCATAAAAGTTATCAAAACTTCAAAAAAAACACCACCAAATGTCTCACATGGAATTAAAAATTCTTCTAGACATATTTATGATGTTAAATGTTTCCAGCATCTTCGGTTGGAACTCGTTAATTTGGTTGATATCAAAATGTTCACGGAAAATAAGATAAAGACTATTAAAACGTATTGATTTAGTTATTTTAATATCATTACAAGTATTATAATTTTCTAGAAATAACTTACTTAAATCCAAATTAATCAATTTCATCCGAGAAACAAATATTATATACTTTCTCTTTATCACATAGCAAGTCTTCACAATCTGATGACGTTTTCGGTCGGTTATATATAGTTTCATCTTTATTGTACTCCCCCTGTTTGTAATCAAATATTTCCAAAGTCATCTAATTTTGTTTTAGTGTAATAATAATAATAATAATAATAATAATAATAATAATAATAATAATAATAATAATAATAATAATAATAATAATAATAATAAACACTTACGGCCCATCTTGGAGATATAAAGTGAACAAAGTTAACGTCAGTAAACCAAAGTAACCGGAATAATTTCGCTTGCCTTTGATGATTTTTCCAACAATATCTAAAAATAGTGATAATTAAAAGAATAACTTATTATTTTAAAAACTTTAGAATGCTAAAAATATATATAAGTTATTAACTTTACCGATCATCATTTTTCTCTCTGTTTGATCCTCTATTAAACTTTTAATCCAAGGAACCAATGGAAAAACCGAAAACCATGATATGATAGCATCGGCCAAACGATTAAATTGTGTGTTGTTGCTGATCCTAATTATCAAATCACCACGTAATAAACTGTATTTTTGATACATCGGATACTCAGCATAGGTTGGTTTGATTTGGGAATAGTTTAAAGATAACACACCACCTAATAGATTCCCTCCATAAATAAAACGTATCATCTGTTGTGGAATAACTGCTACCAATTTCTCTCTCTAATTGAAAATGTAATATTTTTATAAACAAAATACTTATAATAAATTATGAAAATGCAAATAAGATATAAATAGTTTTTTAAACATACATTTTGATCAATGAAAACAACGAAGAGTTTGTTTGTTCTTACGTCTCTCCAAATGAAATCCACACGAACAGGTATCAAAATATATACTATAAATGGAAGTTTAGTAGCAATGAAAATGTATCAACGTAAATGTGATCGTTCATGATTCTACAAAATGAAAATCAGAACTCAGATGTATCAAACTGAATTTCCAAAACTGTCCCTTGTGTTAATATAAATATGGAAAAATATGAACTATTTATTATTTATTATTTTATATTATATTATTCTTAATTTTGTCCCTGATTTCCAATTGAAATTTAAAACACGTTAATATGATAAAAATGGAAAGAATCCCCTTAATTAGCAAAATCATAACTAATTTTTATTCATTGTGATCCTATCTACTCGATTTAACCGTATAAAAGTCATGATTGTATTCGACTAAATTAACTAACTAAAATAACTAAATTAAAACCATCTCGTGAAACTCATCTATGTCACATTCATACAAGAAAGAGTTAGATGTTTACAAATATACATTAAAAATTAAAAATGCCATTATATGTATATTAATATTTTAAATGAAACCTTTTACTTTTAAAAATTTTAGTTTAATCGTTAGCAAAAAAAAAATATATGTATTACTTTATTTTGTTTTTAATCAAAAAATCTGTGAATCTAGAATTAATCGGATGAAACGCTGCGCGTGTCTTAATTAAACTAAATTATAAAGGATCAATTAATCCATCTCTGGTACTTTAGTGAATCTGTTTGGATTCATAATAAGGATTTGATGTTTTTCTTAGTTTATTGAAGGAGTCTAAGGTTAACGAATTTGTTGTTGTGTCTTATTACTTATTTTTTTTACACAGGGGCACGGATATTGGCCTTTTTGTAATGATATCTTAGTTTTTTTTTTTTTTTTTTTTTTTTTTTTTTTTTTTTTTTTTAAATTATTTAACTATATTTGATTAGAAGTTCAAAGTTGGTCTTGAAGCTTGATTTATCTTGCTGTCAAGTTTATTGGCGGTTGCTAGATAGAAAGCAAAGGAGAAACTGTGCGGATTTCCAAATTGTAATCAAGTGTTTAATGGTCATTTACGTGATATAAGTGTGTTGAACAATAAATAAAAGGAAATGCTAAAACAGAGTACATGTTTTGAATTTTCATATAGAAAATGCTAAAGAGTACATGTATGTATCTACATGCATATCTTATTAATTTATTAAAATTTTATAAATCTTTGATTAAATAAATATTTTAAAATTTTAATATTATTTTTTTTTTATTTTTGGTTTCCACGGGTTGTAACCTAATAATATATTAATAAATAAAAAGTTAATTTTTGTTAAATGTTCATATTTAGTATAATCGGTGGACTATCTTTATAATAAATATTAGAATTTTATAAATGGTAATATTACTTAGAATTTTAGAAATGAAAGATAATACATATTTGTTAATCTATATTTTTAATAATACCTTAGAGTATATTAAGTAAAAGGTTTAAAATAAAATTTTAAAAACAAAAAATCAAATCTATTACCTTATTAAATTTTTATGTTTAGATCTTTGAAGACATTTTTTCTCCAACTATTGATGCATCAATACATCTACAAGCAGGGTGTATTGAGAGATTTGCATATATAATAGTCGAACCAAATTTCATGAAAATGTAATATCATAAATTAGAACATGATATATTTTAAAAACAAAGAAGTCTATCACTCAAATACACAAGCCTACAATTTCCCAACATATACATATACAAACCATACAAACATAGGATGTCACAAACAAATACATACGCATATATACATATTATATACATGTACAATTTGAGACATAATAAATTTACCACTTCAAACAGAAGAAGTAAAAATAAAATATCATACACACTTCAAGTTATAACAGATAGAAGAACTAAAAAAACCTGAATTCTTATCAAAAAATGCAATGTAATGAAGTAGTCTTATCGTCCTTATTCATTGTTTGTGAATTGTGTGTTGTAAGAGTAAAAAAAAAATAAGAGTGTATATTAAATTTATAGTTGCAGTAAAGTATTCTATGATATAATTTCGGAAACTGATAATCATTCCAAAATTAAACAAATTGATATCATACCATAAATACTAACATTACAAAAATATATTAAAATAATTTAAAAATCAGTTTAATAACTATCATAAATTATACCAAAAATATTTTAAATCATATCAAAATTAATCAGATTATTATAATATTTTAATAAAGATAATATAATACTAAAAATACTAACATTAACAAGTTGATATCATACCATAAATACTACACATTAACAAATATATTAAAATAATTTAAAAATCAATTTAATAATTGTTATAAGTCATACCAAAAATATTTTAAGTTATACCAAAAATAATTAGAAATTGTTTTATCAATAATCCTAACTAAAAAATAATTAAAATTGTGATTTTTTTTATTTTGCAAAATTAACATCATTTTCAAAGATAAAAAAAATGCATTAGATTTTTTTTTTTGGGAAAACGTATAAGCAACAAAACTTTATTAAAATCATTAGTTGAAAATGTGGTTATTTTTTTTTATTAAACCTTATTAAAATCATGATTTTTTTTTAAATGTATAATGAAAAGTTTCATAAATAGAAACATTAAAGTATTGAAAAAAAAAAAAAAAAAAAAAAAAGCACCCGTTGCCTAAGCAACAAAGCTTAAAAAAATGGAAGGCATCGGATTTCTTGGTAATCGTTCATTCCATCCCATCAAGCAAAATAGATGATAATAATAATAATAATAATAATAATAATAATAATAATAATAATAATAATAATAATAATAATAATAATAATAATAACTAAATGGGAACCCCCGCGTTGTGGGGGTCGGATGTGATAATTTTTTACGTTGTTTGTTTTTTGAAAATGTTTATAGTTTGAGTTGCTCATTCCTTGACTCTTTAATTGATCTATAAACAAATAAATAAATAAGAAATAAAAAAAAAAACATCAATGTAAGCAAAACTAATAAAATGACAATTAAACGAAAACATAGGAACATATAATGCCACAAATAACCAACGGAAGTAAAAAGACCAAAAAAGACAAAAAGGAAGCAACTTTAAAATGACCCAAATATAATTGAGGGATCATTCCTACCAAAAAAATATTAATATTACTAAATACTAATAATATGTAATAAAATGCAAGGGTTATGAAAAATTCAAACGAAACTAAAAAGGTTGTTTGTGAATAAAAACATTAAGTTGAAGGGTAAATGTTGTAATATTAATTGAAAAACAAAAATTCCAACGAATCAAAACAAGTATTGTTAAAAAATTTCATAACTTTAATATATATATATATATATATATATATATATATATATATATATATATATATATATATAATAATAAGGAATTCTTACTTGGTGAAGTTTAAAAACCGTATAAAATGGATCATTCCAGTAAAAAAACATGAGAATCTTTTTTCACCACCACATGAAGAAGAAGCCACACATTTCACCAAGGGCTTAACCGTCCATAAAAAAAATACTCAGATGGTGGTAATAAAAACACAGAATCCTCAATTTCATTCCCTTCTCCTTCTCTTTATGGTTTACATTCCTCCTCCTCCTCCTTGGAACCGCCACCTAAAACATCATCACTTTCTTCATCATCACCATCATAAACCAGAGATGTCATCACCCCCTCTTCTTTCTCCACTTTTGATGACTCACCAGGATTTCCATTTCCCATTGTTGTAGATCTTATACCACTATCCATATGCTGTAAATTGTAAATAAAATAATTTTTTTTTAACTTAACATAGAGTCAATGACAAAGTAAGGGAAATTATATTTATTAAACAAAATTATATAATAATTACTTTTGAAACCTGATACAAGTAAGAAAATGGTGAAGTTGGAAATATATATATATATATATATAATATATATATATATATTATAATATATATATATATATATATATATATATATATATATATATATATATCACCATAGGTGGTAAAACAGCAAAACTTCCAAAAACATAATCGCTTCTCATAACCTTCCCCAAAAATTATTCATCTAGATGTTTGTATAAAATAAATTTTCATTACAAATAGCATAGATAAAAAAATGGGTGATATAAAATTTTACCTGTGACAAAGGAACAACATGAATGTTTGACTTTGCTTCATGACCATTTTCAGTAGCATTATTTGGTCTAGTAGTCGCCTTACGCCCTTTAAAAACAATTGCCCAAATTAAAATTAAGAAAAAAATCACACACGTTAATTTAACCACATATATACGAAAAATATCATGTTACTAAAACTATTTCCAAATTGATCCCCATGTTCTTTTTACCACCCTCTTTCTGTGGTTGAACTTGAAGACCGTATTCTTTTACCAAAATACTATCTCCATTAGACTTGATTTTCTAGGGTGTCGATAATACAGTTGAGATGGAGGAACATTTAGGTGGACAGGGACCCACTGATAGGTTGTAGCGACGACGACCTAGAACAAAGTATAATTAGTTAGAAGTCAAATAAATCTTCCCTTATTATGGAGTAAGAAGTGAATAAATGAATGAAGATATAAAAATTTAGAAACCACATTTGGAAAAAGTTAGCCTATCAAAGGGTTCACAAATTGTATAACCTCTATCAACTGGTTGACAGTTTTAAACATCAAAATTTTCATGGAATGAGCTTTTGGCTGATGGTGTCTTCAGTATTAAGTGTTGATGCTCTGGGGGGATTTGATTGTTCCGATTGAGAAAAAACAATGAGGATCTGCATGCATATCATAACAAACAACAAGAGTATTGCATATCGTTTCCCAAGAGAATGAACACTATTCGAAGAATTAGTCACTCCAAATAACACAAGACATGACCAAATAATAACAACCTGTCAATATAAAACCAAGAGGGTAAGAAACCAAAAATATTAAATAGATGCATAATTAGTTATAAAGTCGTCTTACATATAATGATTTCTTTGGTCTTCCAATGCCATGACATTCCATGTCACCAAATGAGTTTTCAGACTGATGTAGCTCCAATGAAGCATCCTGAAAATTCAAAACACTGACATGATTGATTATTCGTAATCATGGAATTAATCTTTGTTGAATGTTGATAATACCTTTTCAAGAAATATATCTCTACACCATTGTCTAATGTCGGCATCAGTATGTGGCAATTCACAAATCAATGTCGGCATAAGTATGTGGCAATTCACAAATCAAGTGTCTTTTAACATGCACATGTACCTACAAGAAATAATGACACTGGAATATTTGATAAGAATTGGGAAGACTCCCAAATGCTCATTTTCTTCAATAATCCATATCAAACTAAGTATTTATGGCTCAAACAATGGTTTTCTTTTCTTAAAAAAAGGTCTTTAAGAAAATGTTTCTTTGAGAATAACCTTGGAGGAAAAAACTTAAGGTGTTTGTAAAGTGTTATGGGTTTACCGTGGAAGATCTTCCTCTGAACATTCTCAAGATTGTTGGCAATGGCTCATTTTTAGGAATTGCTACTGTACAATTGTAAAATGTAGGAACAAATGAGCGCAAGTGATTGCCTGCAGCAACAAAAGAATCTCCAATCAACTAAAGGAGCATTGGCTAGCCTCTTCTCATCCTCTTCAGAAACATCACATGTGTCATAAATTAATATTAGTAACAACGATTTACATGAACACACCTACACACCAGAGAATTAGAGAAATAGGTGGGATATGCAAATGTAAAAGTAAATGGCTTTCCATCAGTATTTGTATTTCTGATTCGGAATATCAACATCAAGTCTCCAGCATGTCCCAGAGTAACCCTCAGTCGATACTCAAAGCTACAAATGACATAAAAAATAGAATATAATTATTTATAAGAAAGATAAAGAAATAAGTATCTAAGATTAAAGAACAAATCACAAGCTAACCCAAGCACTCATCCAATGATTAACTCCTTGACCACACTTGGGCCTTTCAACATTGGATGAGCAACCCAACAAACATGAATATCAGTAAATCTTCCTATGATCTTAAAGAAACTGTTGCCCATATAGATATGAGTATATGACAATAAACATACATATCTACAAATGAGGCAAATGTTTATTATATACACGCATACAAACCTTCACAAGCAACTCTAACTCATGGATTTTAAAATGAATCAGATTGATAAAAGATCAATTCACTATATATATGAACAATTTCGACACACATATAGAATAGAGAGTAATAAACAAAGTTTTTAGAATGTATTAAGATAACTTACACAACACATCGAAAAAACAAATACATACCCATGAAGTGAGTAGAGTTTTATTGCTATAATTAGTGTTTGCTCGCCTAAAGTTAAAGGCTATGAGTTTATACAGATCAGATGTCTTCCCCACCAATATACTTCATTTCCATGATTTGAATTCATAGCTTGGACTGGAGCTAAAGCAAAAGATGAAAAATGACCTAATCCATTACTAAGTCTATCAATAAACAATGAAAAATGGTGATAACGATTTTGATAGCAATCGATCAAGTCAAATAGCACATAGAAGTAAATAAATCGATTTAAGTTTATATTCTTTATACAAAAAAAAAACAAATCGTATAAGCGTGAACACACCAACACACCAGAGTTTCTGCCAAATCGTTACATTCTAGTCACAAATTCCATATCCATTTTGTATCCGATCGATGTGGTTTGCTAAGAATCAAATGAAAAGGTGGTTGATCATGGCGACAGGATAGGGTTAGGGCTACTTGTCTTGATAGAAGGCAGAAGTGGTGGAAAATGGTGACGAAAAGGTGGAGACAGGTGGTGGTCCACTGTTTGTGTGTGATGTTGCCGGAGTCAAGGACCTGACATCATGAGGGCGAAGAGATAAACCAAGACGACTGAGAATTGGTTTGATGGCGGTTATTGTGTGTTTAGGAGATTAGGGTAAGGTAATATCGTATATGTTTAGGAGATTAGGGTAAGGTAATACCATGTAATACGTATACGATGTGTTTATAAGCTTAATATTATTGTACATGAGGTAATACCTATTGTACCTCTTAATTTTCAAGAAAGAGACAATATGTTTCATAATATAGTAAAGATAAACATACCTACATTAACCATAAAATAGATAAGAATAACGAAATAATTTCTTCAAGAAGTTACACACGGTTAGTAGGTGGTTATTGTTAAAAATAATAAATATTTTAAAATACAATCATATATTTGTTATTTTTCTTATTTGTGTATAAGGGTTGTTATGTTACGGTTGAATTGTATAAGGGTTTGTAAGGAAGTTCAGGTAAAACACGCGGATCTATTTGTGGGTCAAGTAAAACCCTGACCCGATTCGTTTCTTATGAGCTGAGATATAAAGGTGGAGAGAGACTACAAAGGGATTCATTCCAGTCATTTTAGATCAAAAGATTAGGGTTTCGTATATGTGTCTCTCTCGTTCTTTCATCTGTTCTTTCCATCTATTAGTGATTATGTTCTATTTTTTGTATAAACATCTATTTAGATGAGTTGTAAAGTCGATATAGATTAGGATGAGTGTTTAATATTGAGAGTAGATTAGGATATTTGTAGTGAGTTTTCAGTTGTAAGTTCATGAAAACCTTCTTTTTCTTAGTCCTCAAATGATATAAGAAATGAAGATGTTGGGAATATTTGATTTGTCTATTTTTATCATGGTATCAGACCTGTAAGGCTTGTGTTTTTCGAACATGACATTCCGTTCGTCGATTGGTGTTCTTTTCCCAACGATCTGTTGAAAGGTATTCTTTCTTGTTTGTTTAGGATTTTCTATTCTTTTAGGGTTTTCTATTCTTTTCCCTAAAATCGAATATGTTTGTTAAGATCATGGTACTGCGAGTTGTTTGGTTTGATCTTGCAGATTGGTGTGATTGGCTCTTGGTTGAGTTGTTGTTGTTGTGATCTTTGGCTGTAACTCTGAAGATTATTCAATTAATCCCTCTAATATGAAATAACTCTCTTGGTGTCAGATATCATCATTGATAAACCCTTGTAGAGAACGGATTCAGGGAGTCGATTCTAATAAATATCTTTGCCTATTGCACTGTAAGGGTTTCTCGTTCCTTTCTTTCTGTTTTTTGTTGTACACAAGTTGTTTGTTTTGTTTGCTCTTGATTATGTTTTGATTGTCTTGGGCCCCAACATACTGTGGTGGTCATTTGGATATTAATTCAACATAGTTGTCTATTATTTGTTCTTCCTGTTTTGTTATATTTTCTTTGATTCGTTATGTCTGGTGATACTTCTGAAGGAAGTAGTACTCCTAAAGATATTCCTACTAACTTTGATGATCCTTTATATGTTCATCCGTCTGATAATGTTGTAACCTCTATCATAACTATTAAACTCGCTGGAAATGAGAATTATCGCCTATGGCACAGTGCTATGATGAGAGGCTTAAAAGCTAGAAATAAACTAGGGTTTGTAGATGGTACACTTACTCTTAGTAAAACTGAATCATCTAAGGCTTCTAAATGGGAGCGTGTTAATGGTGTTGTGTGTAATTGGATATTAGGAACAATATATGAATCTATATATGCTAGTCATGTGTATTCTAATAAAGCTGAGGATATTTGGAATGTGTTGTTTGAAACGTATAACAAAGTTGATGGCTCTGTAACTTTTAATATTCATCAGTAAATTAATACTTTAAAACACAATGGCTCTTCTCTCTCAGATTATTATAATAAACTTGATTCTTTGTGGAAAGAGTTTGATGGCTTAACTAGCTTAACTGAATGTGTATGTAAGGTTGCTACAAAACTTAATGACCACTCTAAACTAATGAAACTAATTCAATTTCTTAGTGGCCTTGATGATGTTTATAATTAGGTTAAAAGTCATATTCTCTTGATGGAACCCTTACCAAATGTTAAATCTTCTTTCTACATTCTTTCTAGAGAAGAATCTCTTCAAAAAAAAATGGTTCTCTAGGGTCCTCTAGCTCTTCAAAATCACAGGTTTCAGTTTTTAATAGTAAAGTCAACGAGTTTAGAAGGACACAGGATCAAAATAAATCCAAAAATCAAGGGCTACAATGTAAACATTATGGCCTCAAAGGTCATTCTATTGATTGGTGCTATAAATTGATAGGATATCCAAAAAAAAATTAAACCTAGAAATGAAAGTAATAATCAAAGTAAGACCTTTTATGGGAATTCTTCTTTTATTGGATCTAACAACAATGTCTCTGGTGTACCTTCTGAGTCTGTTCATAATAATGATGCTCACTATCTCACTAGTGAATAGTACAATAAATTCCTTCGTCTCATCAATGAATACTCTACTAGTTAGGATGTTACTGCAACTGCTAATATGGCAGGTACATCTAATTTTCGGTGTTGTAATTCTTTTGTTAGTTTTGATAACTCTCATAGTTGGATTGTTGACTCAGGGGTAAATCAACATATGATATCCTCTGAGTCCCAACTTAGAGATGCAGTGGATGTGTCTGGTCTTAGTCTTCTTGTAAAACATCCCAATGGATCCTCTGCTCCTATAAACAAAATAGGAAATCTCCAGTTGTCCTCATATCTCATTTTGTTTGATGTCTTTGTTGTTCCTCACTTTAGTGTTAATCTTTTGTCTATACATAAGTTGTGTAAAGATAGTGGTTGTGAGGTTGTTTTTTCTGAACATAATTGCAAAATTTAGTATTCACTGTTAAAGAAGATGGTGGAGAATGGTAGAGAATCTGGGGGGTAGTATTATCTTGCTTGTATCCCCGCAGGTAATTCTACTAATACAACTAGCAATAAGTGTTGTGTTTCTAAACTTATTTGGCATAGTAGGCTTGGTCATTCAGCTGATCAAGCTTTGATTTCTTTAAAAGAAAAGTTAAAATTGAGTAATGAATCTCTTCCACCTTGTGATATTTGTCATAAGGCAAAGCAAACAAGAGAATCTTTTCCACATAGTCAACATAATTCAACTAGATTTTGTGAATTGATTCACCTAGATATTTGGGGACCATATACACTTGCTATCGTTGAAGGATTTAAGTATTTTTTGACTATTGTGGATGATTTTACTAGGGCCACTTGGGTTTTTTTTTTGAAGTCAAAAAGTGAAGTTTTCGGATGCTTTAAATCTTTTGTAAACATTCTTCAAAATCAATTTAGTGTAAAAATCAAATTAATCTTATAATGGAACAAAATTTGTTAATAATGAAATGAAT